GGGTTCGTACAGGAATCCATAAAGTCAGTTGAATAAAGACCCTGCCCAAGCGATTGTGTCTTCTTCTTCAGACATGGTTGTCTTTCAATCCGAAAATCCTATGCATCCACAGCTGCATATTAACAGGCATGAATGATATCAAAAAAGACAAATCAGTTTACTGTATGTGACGAAGAATTACTACCGCTGCGCGGGAGATAATTGTGAGCAAGCTTTCTTCCTAGGCTGGTGCAAAACACTTAAATTAGTTAGTCTTGATCCAAAGTAACTGTAGGCTTTTGCTCGAGGTTATTTTGCGCTAGCACAATCAGATTACTCTTGTGTCCAATACTGTCTCATTTCGCCACTTCATTAGATTTCCGTTGATAGAAAGATCACCATTTCGGTCAGAAATGTGTCCACGAAACGCTTAGTGATTGACTTTTTCATTTGCATCCGTTCAGTGCTCTTCCGCTGGCATGTCTTTTCCTCCATTTGAACGAGTGTCTACTTGCTGCATGAGCGTAAATGAATGTAAAGTGACACAGAGAAAATACCCATTCGGAAGCAGTGCAGAATAATTAAATGCGATCACTGGAACAAGCAGGCTTGTTTACCTGACGTCTCGGACTCACACTCTAAGTCATAATCATGGACAGCAATAGACATAACAGTATTATGCCCAAGAGGGCTGCAGTATTGATAGGATGCAGTTATTATACCTATCAGAGAGAGCGGTTGCAACAGTCATTACATAGAGTAGGACCAGCGTCAGCGAACAATTCTGAATAACAAAAGAAGAGGAGGCGTTCACCGGGAGAGGTGTATTTGAGGTCTGACGTTTCGGGTAGTCGTTTCTTCTACCCATCTTCAGAGACTGAGCAGTCGTGAAAGGGGTCTCCGAAGCCGTAGCCAGATCCCTCACGCCGCTCGGAATAGGCGTTGCCCACAGGCCCGACTCAACAATCCGCCGGCAAGTGATGCGGCCAAAAGACCCGATCTTAAACGGGAGATGTCGGCTGTTGTCTACCGACTTCAGTGCAGCTGCGGAATGTGTAACTACGTTGGGGAAACCGGCCGACGGCTGCAAACGCGCATGCACGAGCATAAGTTGGCTATGCGAAGGTTGGACCCAAAGTCGGAGGTAGCAACCCATGCCGCCCAAATGGGACACGTCTTCAACTTTGACGCCGTTGAAATTGTGGGCCGAGGTGATGATCATACGGCAAGACAGGTACAAGAAGCCTGGATGTCTACTGACTGTTCTGTCAACCGCCACATCAATTTACCTCCTCCTTATCTGGTTTTACGGACATTCTTGACGGGGGACAGTCACGGCGCAGGACAATCGGGGCCGCCAATTATCATCGCGGCCGACGAGGATGGGCGGGATTCAGGTCACGGTGACATGCGGGTCGGATGCAGCCAAACAGGCGGCATTGATGGGCCAGGCATTGGACAAAGTGCGCCATGAAAGGAAAGCTGTGTGCACGACTGCTCAGTCTCTGAAGATGGGTAGAAGAAACGACTACCCGAAACGTCAGACCTCAAATACACCTCTTCCGGTGAACGCCTCCTCTTCTTTTGATATGCTACCCTGGAATCGCATTTTCACCACTATAATTCTGAATACATTTACACTAAGTTATAACTACTAATCATAAATTGTCTGACTTCTCGAATTTAACTGCTCTTACTAGACCTACAGTAGGTGGGCTAACTCGTGAAATGTCAACTCAAATCCTGAAATGCGTTGTCGCTTCGAAAAGAAACATTAAGTGGGTTATAAAACTAATCAGCCTGCAGTACAATTCTATAATAATCGCGTTACCTCAGGATGCCGGCTTTTGAAGGAATTTCCTTTCGATTGCATACAAGCACTATACTCTGTGAGAAATGATTACTTAAGTAGCATGCATTTTTCTCACTGATTTTCGAGGCCCTTAAATTTCCAATTATATTTCATGGAAAACATGAATGAAAATATTCATTCTTCCGTACATTCGGTAGACAATTACGACATCTTCCAAGCCTATAGTCAAAAGCAAGCTATTATTCGGTTTTCAAAAACTTTTCTAATTCCTGAAAATTTTGAACCCTAACTGCAGTTATACTTACATTAAGGGCTTAAAAACTACAAGCCGTATATTTTCCGCGTACGGAAAAACACACATTTCTCTACGGTAATAAAGGGGGACCATATAGGTTTCATAAAATTTAGCAGTAGACTTGATCCATATTATTACCTTTACGAGCCATATTGGTAAATGCAGAGGTATGACGATTTATGAACGGCTATTTCAGGGTATTTAAAAGTCCCACAAGTCGAAACTTTTGGAAACAGAATTATGTCCCTCCTTCAAGCATAAAGTTAGACGAAGACGTAATTATCTACCGAATGAGCAAAAGAATGTATATTTGTATGCATTTTTTCAACGAAATATAACTGGACTTTTAGGCACATCGAAAATCAAAGAGAAAAATTTATGCTACTTAAGTAGTCATTTTGTGCAAAGTATGTTTTGACATGCAGACAAAAGGAAGTTCATTCAAAAGCCGGTATCCTGAGGTAACTAAATTATTATAGAATCATGTTGTATGATGATAAGTTTTACAATCCTACCTAATTAATCTTTTCGAAACGAAAACGCATTTCGGAATTTCGGTTAACATTTCATGAGTTAGCACACCCAAATTTAGAGAGAACCAGATGCATCGATGCTATCAACAATCCAGACGGTTTCAGTGAGAGGTTATATGCACTCAGCATCAGATACCGGATCCCATAAAATTCCAACATGTTGACAATAGGTAAACTAATCATCTTGACTATGTCAAAAAACCGGCTAAAACTCTAAAACTACATGAATTTACATATTTTCCTCACTGAGTCCTTCTTTCCTGCCTTCGTTTGATTTCTCGAGTTGGATGGCCAACTTCATAAAACGTATGCAGATGAAATTGGTTTCACTATTCAAACCTCTAGATTGAAACTTGCTGTTGATGTCAACCTACACATAGAAGCTTGGTAGTTTTGTTCACAGACGATTACATATTCATCGTGCTTATAACTGATTTGTGCGCACTGTCGGCTACTTTACCTACTCTTTCCTTCAGAGTAGTATAATAGAGCAGATGTGCAGGTGAGATCACGTGCACTGCACCTACTTAGAGGGCAAGTTAATTCAGAACAGGACCTCCAGTCTCTCTGCTGACATGTGTTCACGTCGTGATCAGTATAACTTAAAGGCCAGTAGACGCTTTTCAACAGGAGTAGCAGCTGCGATGAAATGATAACGGACATCCCGCTGCAGCTGAATATTTTCGACGGCTCTAGTAAGAATTTAAATCGGTTTGATGCACATGGTCGGCGACCAACTGAATGGAACAGGTGGCATAAGTGCTGACTGGAGGTCTGAAAGGTGCTTTAGATCAGAAATTATTCCTGTGGTGCGGTTTTTGTGAGGCATACCCGAGATATTTCACTCAGGGCAGGATGCCGGCCTTTTGCTGCGCTCCGTACCGTCGCCAGCAGAAACCAAATCAGTATCATTTCAATTATTCGGAACAAATAGCTACTTTAGTAAACGTAATACTTGAGAAAATGGTATCTGTCGGTTTCAGTATCAGTATCAGTTTATTAAGGGAAATATAGGCAAGCGCCTTTGAATTCCCTCTTGGTCACAAGTCGTCGGAGAAAAACATTGATAAATGGGAAGGTGAAAAAGGGATTTTGTACATACTCGCGGACAGCTGGCAGCTAGTCGAAAAAGAGTAATCATTAATGGTTACTTACTAATTACAAGTAGTATAAACATATATAAGATGGTACCAGGTTATGTGAGTGTATGTGGGGGTGGTAATTGGGAAGCTTGATGCAGGTCAAGTCTACACTTGAAGGAGTTCACACAGGAGGAGGTTACAACATCGGTAGGTAGGGAATTCCAGGCTGCAACCACTCTGTTACTGAAAAAGGACTTTCGTCCATTG